ACCTCCTGAGCCAGAAGATCCTGGGCAACCTCCAGCAGCTCCGCGGGCCCTTCCCAGGTAGGACAACCCTGGTGGCCTCGGCGGGGCCGGTGGTCGCCACCAGAGCTGCGTGTCCACTCCTCGGTGTCCACCCAGGGTCCGGCCTGGGCGTGGCCTCCAGCTCGGAGCCCATCAACCCCACCAGCAACCTGTCGACGGTGGCCGTGCTGCCCGTGTGCGACGAGGTGCCCATGGCGGCCTTCACGCTGGAGCTGCAGCACGCGCTCAACGCCATCGGTGAGCGGCCACCGCCGGACCGTCACCGCGGGATGGTCACCACCACGGGATGGTGACTGTGGGACACTGACCACCACGGGATGGTGACCGTGGGATGGTGACCACAACGGGATGGTGACTGTGGGACACTGACCAACATGGGGTGGTGACTATGGGACATTGACCACCATGGGGTGGTGACCGTGGGATGGTGACCATGGGACATTGACCACAACGGGATGGTGACCATGGGACACTGACTACCACAGGATGGTGACCATGGGATGGTGGCCATGGGACACTGACCACCATGGGGTGGTGACCATGGGATGGTGACCATGGGATACTGACCACCATGGGGTGGTGACCATGGGACACTGACCACCATGGGGTGGTGACCATGGGACACTGACCACCATGGGGTGGTGACCATGGGACGTTGACCATGGGATGGTGACCATGGGGTTGTGACTGTGGCACGGTGACCATGGCCGTGATGATGTGGTCCTGGAGATGACTGCATCCCCATGCCACAATGGTGCCCACATCGTGTGGTCCTGGAGATGACCACGTCCCCATGGCGTGGTGGTGCCCATGGTCTGGAGATGACCACATCCTCATGTCATGGTGATGACCACACCCTAGAGATGACCACATCCCCACGGCCTGGAGATGACCACATCCCCACACCACTGACCACATCCCCCCCTCCACAGGCCCCACGCTGCTCCTCACCAGCGACATCATCCGCGCCCGCCTGGGTTCCTCGGCTCTGGAGAGGTACCGGCGGCGCTCGGCGGTCAGCGGTCGGTGGCCGCGGTCCCTCCCGCCCCTCGGGCCACCGCTGACGGCGCGGTGTCCCCGCAGCATCCAGGAGTACCGGCTGTCGGGGTGGCTGGCGCAGCAGGAGGACCTGCACCGCATCGTGCTGTACCAGACGGACTGCACGCTGACCCCCTGGACGCTGCGCT